TTGATCACTGTAGTCTTTAAAAGTCCCCTGGCACTTCTTGCAAAAATTGGGGTGTTAGCTAGTGTTCTGGATAAATCTCAGTATGAGTAATTATACATGCTGCCCATTTAGATTTCTCCCTGCAACTACCGTCAGACACACAGGCTCAATTCCATCCCTGGTGTATGTAACATCACCATAATGTGATGTATTTATTTGTTTATTGGATAATGAGTTCCACCAGTATTTATGTAATGGTCTTCCCTCTTCCTCTCCTCTCCAAAATAGGTCTCAGATCACTATCTGAATTCTCTGAAGAATTTCTCCTTACACGTAGTCTAAATGGTAGTTAATGGACTTCCTTTAGGGATGAATTTGGCCCCATAGTTTTCTTTTCCTGTCCTTGACCATAGTGCAGCATTGCTATGCTCTGTTAAAAAGTCAGTGTTTCACCCAGTTAACTGTACTTCACTGGTATCTATGTATTTATATGAACTCAACATCATTGTATCAGAGCAATAAAGAAGTGAAGTGAATTCTGTGCATAGACACTGAATTAGACACTGAAACGAATTAATGGCCCTTATATTATGGTTTCCCTGAGAGATCTTACTAAATTTTACTTTTCTTAATTTTCTCTCATTACTACTGACATTCTTTAGGGCAATCCTAAATAATTCTTCTCTTTCCTTATTCAATATATATAGACTGTAATATTTTGTGTGAGAGATTGTAAAGCATTTTAGAATCCCTCAGGATGAATGGCACTATATAAAGGTAAGATATTAATCATTATTTTCATGAATTAGAATGCACAATAGTAGTGACAAACCAGCCTCTGAGGGGTTGAGTCTGACCTAAGCTTGGATCTAGGTACTGGCCAGTGTGACCATGATTTAGTCATACCAAACACAGCACTAAAATTAAGCTTGAATAGTTTGGCTGGCACTGTGTCACATAAGCTGAAAACAATAAGCAAGATAGCATCAAACAAAGGACACCTTGATTGTTTTGCTACCCTCTGTGCATAGCATGTAGAATCATAGGTGCCGACTCTGTGGGTGCTCCGGGGCTGGAGCACCCACGGGGAAAAATTGGTGGGTGCTCTGCACCCACCGGCAGCTCCCCGCCCCAGCTCACCTCCGCTCTGCCTCCTCCCCTGAGCGTGCTGCGGCTCCGCTTCCCCCCCCTCCCTCCCAGTGCATCCCGCCACGAAACAGCTGATTCAGGCAGCAAGCGCTGGGAGGAAGAGGGGAGAAGGGGGAACACGGTGCACTCATGGAAGAGGCGGGGCCGGGGCAGGGATTTGGGGAAGGGGTCCCATAGGGGCGGGGAGGGGGGAGGGGGCAGGGGCAGGAGTGGACAGGGCGGGGTAGAGGCGGGGCAGGGGGCAAGCACCCACCGGCGCCTAGAAAAGTTGGCACCTATGTGTAGAATCATAGAAATGTAGGTCTGGAAGGAACTTCGATAGGTCATGTAGTCCAGTCCCTGCACTGAGGTAGAACTATCTAGACCCGAGGTGGGCAAACTATGGCCCGCGGGCCACATCCGACCCGCGGGACCGTCCTGCCTGGCCCTTGAGCTCCCGGCCAGGGAGGCTAGCCCCCAGCCCCTCCCCTGCTGTTCCCCTTCCCCCACAGCCTCAGCTCACCGTGCTGCCAGTGCTCTGGGCGGCGGGGCAGCGCGGCTGTCAGTCCTGCTGCTCTGAGCAGCATGGTAAGGGGGCGGTTAGGGGTGTGGGGTCCCGGGAGGGGGCAGGGGAGGTTGGATGGTCGGGGGTTCTGAGGGGGGAAGTCAGAGGGTGAGAAGTGGGAGGGGGCGGATAGGGGGCGGGGGCCAGGCTGTTTGGGGAAGCACAGGCCTTCCCTACCCGGCCTTCCATACAGTTTCAGAACCCCGATGTGGCCCTCAGGCCAAAAAGTTTGCCCACCCCTGATCTAGACCATCCTTGACAGGTGTTTGTCTAATCATTGGAGGTTTGTAAAAAACCTCAACCTCCCTAGGTAATTTGTTCCAGTGCTTAACTACCCTTACAGTTAGCATGTTTTTTCTAGTGTCTAACCTAAATCTCCCTGGCTGCAATTTAAGCACATTACTTCTTGTCTTGTTCTCAGTGGATAAGAAGAACAATTTATCATTCTCCTCTTTATAACAACCTTTTATGTACTTGAAGATTGTTATCATGTCTCCTCTCAGTCTTCTCTTCTCCAGACTAAACAAACCCAGTTTTTTCAATCTTTCCTCATAGGTCATGTTTTCTAGACTTTTAATCATTTTTTGTTGCTCTCCACTGGACTTTCTCCAATTTGTCCAGCTCTTTCCCAAAGTGTGGTGCCCAGAATTGGACTCAATACTCCAGCTGAGGTCTTGTCAGTGCTGAGTAGACTGGAAAAATTACTTCTTGTCTTTTGCTTACAACACTGCTATTAATAATCCCAGAATGATGTTCACTTTTTTTTTTGCAACAGTATTACATTGTTTACTCATATTTAATTTGTGATCCACTATACTCTTTTTTGCAGTACTCCTTCCTAGGCAGTCATTTTATGTTTGTGCAATTGATTATTCCCTCCTAAGCGTAGTACTTTGCATTTGTCCTTATTGATTTTCATCCTATTTATTTCAGACCATTTCTCCATGGAAAACTAAATAGGTGCATCAGAATACACCACATGTGAGTGTCAGGGAGTCATATGCTTTTTCACTATTTCTGCGAAAGTGAGCACTTCAAAAAAAATCTCCAAAGGCATTTTTAAAGACAGGTTTTTTAATTATAAAGGGTTTCTTTTTTTCATGTGTGATTACAAATGTAACACGGAGTCTATGACAATGACTAATGGTCTATAAATACCTAAGACAGTTATCATACTGTTGATGTCATGCTTACAGAAATGTAGGCCATGGACAGGTAGTGAAGACATTGTTAAACAGAGATCAGCGTGGAGGGGTGAAGGGAAAGAGGTACTCATAATAACTTGCCCCCTCTCTATTCAGTCTCCCCAATCCCTGATGGTTGTTGCCCATACCCTTGCTGCCACTGTCTCCTCTCCAGGCTCCTGTGCCATTTCTCACCCTCTGAGGGGCATGTAGGCACAGACTGGATACTAATGCTGCTTCTAGTAACACCCATTTCTGTTCGGATAGCCATGCAGCTTTGAGGAAATCATGTGATGGGCTGCTCCCTGCTTCCTATCCTTGGCATTCTTCCTTACAAACCACAGTGTTGAAGCCACATAATGCTGGTGGGGGGAGGGATAGCTCAGTGGTTTGAGCATTGGCCTGCTAAACCCAGGGTTGTGAGGGATCTGGGGAAAAATCAGTACTTGGTCCTGCTAGGGAAGGCAGGGGGCTGGACTCGATGACCTTTCGGGATCTATGAGATAGGTATATCAGTTCTATGAGATAGGAGTATCTGTATATATATATATATATATATATATATTATTTATTTTGGTGAAGAGAAGCTTTTCAGGCTCACAGGAAGGGGAAGGGAGCATGTTCAGTGGTTCTGCTTCCTCTCTGCATTTAGGGCAGGGATGGGCAAAGTTTTTGGCCCAAGGGCCACCTCTGGGAATAGAAATTGTATGGCGGGCTAACAAAATTGGGATTGTGGTGTGGGAGGGGGTGAGGGCTCTGGTTGAGAGTGCAGGCTCCGCGGTGGAGCCAGAAATGAGGAGTTCAGGGTGCAGGAGGGGGATCAGGGCTGGGGCAGGGGTTGGGTGTGGGAAGGGGTGCAGGCTCCGGCTGGGGGGGTGGGCTCTAGGATGGGGCTGGGGATGAGGGGTTTGGGGTGCAGGAGGGTGCTGTGGGCTGGGATCAAGGGGTTCAGAGGGTGGGATGGGGATCAGTGCTGGGGCAGGGGGTTAAGGCACAGGGAGAGGCTCAGGTGTGCAGGCTCCAGGCAGCGCTTACCTCAAGCGGCTCCTGGAAGCAGCGGCATGTCGCTTCTCCGGCTCCTATGGGGAGGTGTGGCCAGGCGGCTCTGCATGCTGCCCTGTCCGCGGGCATCTCCCCTGCAGCTCCCATTGGCTGCAGTTCCCGGCCAATGGGAGCTGTGGGGATGGCGCTTGGGGTAGGGGCTGAATGCAGAGTGGAGCCCCCTGGCTGCCCCTAAGCGTAGGAGCTGGAGGGGGGCCATGCCGCTGCTTCCGGGAGCTGCATGAAGCGGCCCCCGACCTTGCTCCCCGGATGGAGCTCTGGAGCCCACTCCCCAGTGGGAGCTCAAGGGCCGGATTAAAACAGCTGGGGGGCCGGATCCAGCCCGCAGGTCGTAGTTTGCCCACCCCTGATTTAGGTGCTGATCCAAAGCCAAATGAAGATAACAGAGAAACTCCCATAAACTTCAGTAGGCTTTGGATCAGACCCTTTAGAGGGTACCATTCACAAAACTACACTTACACGATACTCTGTAAATAAAGCTGGACACTCAAAAATATTATTGTTTTCTCCTTAAAGTTCCCATCCTGCTAGTTGCTGAGCACCCTCCAGTTCCATTAACTTTGGTGAGAATGGATGCAGCCCAGCACCTAGCAGGATCAAGCCTTTACTACCTATCCACTTTCTCTGTGCACACTCTACTGTAACCAAAAAGGGAAGGATTTTCCTTGTCTTTATTTAGAGATGGGCCGGAGCCACAAAATTCAGATTCAAACTTTACCAAAGCTGAGCGGGTTTTGTATCTGGGTTTTGGTTCACCCCACTGTAGAGATAAGGGTGGTTTGCAAAGTCTGGATCCAGATTTGAACATCCCTGTGTTTTGGGGGGTATTTGGATCCAGGGTGGTGTTTCTGATGCATCTCAGTTTTATTGTTGTCTCTTCGTACTGGTAGTGGTGGCCATCACAGTGTCCACTCAACCTCTCTAACCTTGTCTATAACCTCTTCTTGCCTATTTCAGCAATTAACTGGCCAGCCCATGAAGAGAACCTAGATGACTGCAGTCACTAAGGAGTTACAGTTTGCACACACAACGAGGGGAAATTTTGGATGTGTGTAGGCAGCCAATAAAAGAGGAGATAAACAATGCAGCTGACTCATACCCAGCAAGGCTTAAACTGTGATTGCATCACTGTTCCAGGCAGATCGCAGCTCTTTGTTGCAGTTGCACTAGCTCACTCCTTCAGTCTCTATGCCCACACGTCTGGAGGTAAGTCTCAATATTCTTTGTATGTTTGTTTTCACTTATTTTATTTGTACACTGAAACATTAAATCAGCCCCCAGCCACACTTCCCTCGTATGGATGGAAACACTTTCACTGTGAATTAAGCGTAAAGATCGTTTTTAAAGGATTAGCTCTTATAATGCAGGATTTTCCAGTGTGTTTCAATGAGACATTTAAAGCCTCTCACAACTTTCTGTAGTCCTCCTCATTCAAACTGCCAGTCTTGACAAGCTGTGGTTAGAAACCACATGGTAGTGTGGGCAGTAAAATGATATTGGATTTTAAAAGGAGTAAAATCTCTATACCCAGAAGAGCAGAGCTGTTGGTAGTGCAGCGCTGAGAGCTTTTTTGTCCCAATGAAGGATCCTTTTGCATCCCATTTAGGGACGGATTCTGCCACTCTTACTGACATTAAATAGTACTTTAATCTGTGATTAGTCCCACTGACTAGTTCTGAAATAAGGTAATTCTCAATGTATGTAAAGGTAGCAAAACTGGGGTTTCTGATTTTAAGGTCAGATCCTCACTTGATGTAAATCGGCAATTTACAGATGAGTTGAGAATCTTGTCCAAACCTCTAGATATATGGGGGGAAATCCTGCTTCTAGCTATAGTTCATTTGTATAAAAACAAGAAGTGGTGAAAACATGTCATTCTAAAACCTCTTTGGTCAGGGTTAGATTTTGCAAAACCAAAATACGGGGGTGATTCAGATCTGCTTCTCTTTTTATTTGTGCCACTAAAGTTTCAATAATTGATTCCAGTTTTACCTAGTTCTCTTTTTAAAATAAAAATAAGCAAAACCAGGAGCGATTTGGAGCCAAGGTTTATTATTAGACTCTTTTTTCGAACCCGAACATTTAGAGATTTGAGTAAACGGTTCTGGTTTTACACATTTTTAGAGATGAAAAATTATTTTGGTTTTGCAAACCTTTTGATTGTTTATTTTTCTCCACAGAAACCAAAACTAAATTTAGGTTCCACTTTATCCAATCCCCATAATATTTGAGGAATAAATGGTTCTTTTTTTTTGCCTGTCTCTGATTTGGAAGAGCTTTGTGTAATTTTGCACGTAAAATGACTGGCCTGGCTCTGTTGGTCTCATGCCATATTGGATGTGTCCTTTACAAAATACACTGCTTGAAGCAAATGTAAGATGTGTCCTTTACAAAGTACACTGCTTGAAGCAGATGTATATGAAAAAATAGATTATGTTCTTAACCTCTTCATTTTGGGCATCAGAGAAATCTCATGTGTCTGAAATCTTTCCTTCCACGTAGTTGTTGCGATCCAGCTCAATAATTCGTTCATAGCAGCATAGAGAGGATCAGTCACAACCCTGCCTGCCTCTGAACTGAGCCAACAAAGTCATTCTGAGAGGCCATCATATAGCTACTGAATGAGTGCCTTGTTTTAATAGTTCCTGCAGGAACCACAGCTAGTGCCTTCAGATTCAGTCTAGAATGTTGTTGTTTAAAATAAAAAGCAAAAGGTCTAACCCATCTTGTTGCATCAAACTTACATTAGACTGGGGAATTTTATTAGTCAACCAATGGACATTTTAGTCTGATTATTATATGAATTAGGGTAGCACTTGGAGGCATTAACTGAGTTTGGGACCCCATTGTGCTTTAGGTCAGGGGTTCTCAACCTTTTTCTTTCTCAGTCCCTCCCCACATGCTATAAAAATTCCATGGCCCATCTGCGCCACAAAAATTGCTTTTTTCTGCATATAAAAGCCAGGGCCAGCCTTAGGGGGTAGCAAGCAGGGCAATTGCCTGGGGCCCTGTGAAGCTAAGTTGCTCAGGCTTCGGCTTCAGCCCTGGGCCCTAGCAAGTCTAATGCTGGTCCTGCTTGGCGGATCCCATGAAACCTGCTCGCGGCCCCTGAGTGGGCCCCAGACCCCTGGTTGAGAACCACTGATCTAGGTGATATCAATATACAGTGTAACAGCCAGACCCTGCTTGGAAGACCTTGCAATTTAATTAGGCAAAATAGACAAAGGATAAAATAAAGGTGTGTGGTTATCCCCATTTTATAGATGCTCGGCTGAGTCACTGAGAGATTGTGATTTGCTCAAGATCACACAGGCTTTCTATGGCAGAGCTGGGAACTAGAAGCAAACCTGAAGCACAAGACCACACTTTAGCTGAACCCTCAACTTAAAAAGAGAGTTCTCAACTTACACCCCTTACTCACTACTTAAATCTGCAGTTTAGAGCAGCATTAATTCCGGCATGGCTTTCTTAGTGGAAATCTGCTGAGTCTGAGGGGAGCATTCCATTTTGAGCTCTTATGACCCTCTGATCTCCAACCCTGCAGTATTCTCATAAATGGGCTTCTGAAGACCCCTTTTCTTCCCTCTCTCTTTTCCTTGTCTCAGCTCTGTCTGTTCTTGTTGCTTTCTTTCAGCACTAAGTACAGGGAGTTTTATGCTCACTATATTTTTAAAACATCCTCACCTGTTATTAATAACACCTGACTCATACATTAACGCAAAGTGGCTGTGTGGGAGGTTGTTGTCTCTAGTCAATGTGTATTAAGGCACATATGCACGTGGCCCTAGGGATCTACTATATATAACCAATGGGCCAAATTCTCTGCTGCTGTAAATGGGCATAGCTCCACTGGCTTCAGTAGAGTTTTGCCAATATACCACATCAGGGAATTTGGCCTTTTGTTTTGCTGTTCTGTTGACATACAGTATCCTAGTAAATAATGGCACATCTGTAAAGGGCATGGCTCTGGAGGTAGATTGGAATGGATTACTGCAGTGTTTCCCAAACTTGGGACGCCGCTTGTTTAGGGAAAGCCCCTGGCGGGCCGGGCCAGTTTGTTTACCTGCCGTGTCCGCAGCTCTGGCCGATCGCGGCTCCCACTGGCCGCGATTCGCCACTCCAGGCCAATGGGAGCTGCTGGAAGCAGCAGCCAGTACGTCCCTCGGCCCGCGCCGCTTCCAGCAGCTCCCATTGGCCTGGAGCAGCGAACCGCGGCCAGTGGGAGCCGCGATCGGCTGGACCTGAGGACGCGGCAGGTAAACAAACCGGCCCGGCCTGCCAGGGGCTTTCACTAAACAAGCGGCGTCCCAAGTTTGGGAAACACTGGATTACTGCATTATTACAGTTTTTCATGGGAATTATCTTTCTGTCCAGCATGGAACTGTAAGAATTTTAATCTGTTGTTTCCCCAAATTACAACACTATCCTTGGAAGTCAAGCATTGTATTATATTAATGTAAATAGTGCCCCCATATTTCCAGGTGATTATAATGAGAACTGGCCATAATATTGAGCACTTAGCACCTCATATTTACAAATGGTAAGTAAACCTCAGGCTGTCCCTGTGTGGTAGGTAAATTTTTTCCCTATCTTTAAAGGACAATTTGACCCAGAGCATGGTAATACGAAGCCTTTTGAATGAAGATGAAGAGTAGTTTGGGGAACAAAGCGTGGTGTAACTTCAGTGTACCTTGGCAATGATAACAAAAACAAATCTAAGGATGTCTGTTTTTCTTCAGTTCTCTCCCCCACTAAACGCCAGAAAATGGCCAATCTGATGCCCGTAATAGCCCAGGAAGAGCTGGATAACTTTATCTTCACCAGGACAAGTTCTGGCTTCGCCCTCAAAGCCTTTCATGCTCCTCAGAATATTAACATATCACTGAAACTGCTGACCAGCCAGAATACAACTGAGAGGTGGGTGTCATATTTAATTTACTATATAAACAGCTCAGGAGGACAGTAGTGCAAAGAGGGTACCAACATGGACTGTAGCATTTCTGACCCCAGTCACCTTTCCACTTCAGTGACTCCCACCTGATTAACAGAGACAAAGTGGAAGAAATATATTGAATTGCACTAGGTGAGAAATTTGACATATGTAATGACAATGGGGCTTGATCCTGAAGTCATTATTAATAGTGTTATGATTGCATCAAAGGACTTCAATCCATGTTCAGTGCACCGTTGTACTATGCACTATACAAACAAACACAAAGAGCTCACAATCTAAGTTTTAGACAAAACTTGATAGGTGAATAAATGAACACATACGAGAAGAAAGGGAGAATGGACAATTGCAGTAGAGATAGGACTGAGTGCATATATTAGTCATAACCACAAACTCTGTCACAAATGGATGTCAGCCTAACACTCACATAACTCCAATTTATTTCATTGGAGTCACAGGCTTATAGGGATTATGAGGTCAGGCCCATACTATTTTTTTAATGGTGTGGGACCAAATCACTCTAGTGAATGCACTCATTAGGCTCTCAGTTTCTTGAAAGGGTATCCAAGAGCAGAACATGGTCTTTTTAGTATCTGAGAAGTTTAGGTCCTTAGCTGGTTTTTTTAGGCGGCATGCTTAAGCTGAAAAATTCAGATTTCAAATATCTTAAAGTAGTATATGGAGAGGTCATTTTTTCCAAAACAAAGACAGGAACAATTTATCTAATCCAACTCAGATTTCAAACACCCCCTAAAATTCTTGGGGTGCTTGCATCCAAGGTTCCCACGTTTGGTCTTTGGTTGTGCTTGAGTCTAAATTCTTTCATTTATGGCATCCAAATTTGAATCTTGAAACAAGAACTAGTCTGTCTTTAGTGAGGGCCTCTATAGGGCTCAGGGCCCTGATCCAAATCCCACTGACGTCAATGGAAAGACTTCCATGGAGGTTGGATCAGGCCAAAAATAAATTAAGTTTGAGTGTTCTGCTTTTTATTTTTTAAATTCAATAGAAGTGCAATAACTTACTAATCTAAAATAAGAATATATTTATTTGGTAGTTTTTTCTAAAAGGCTTGCCCTCTTTCCCCTGTTTGCTCCCCACTTTTTGTTTAAATAAAAAAAAAGTTACATCAGACAACAAAAGCCAATAATTTATTTTCTCCTTTCTGGATTTAAAGTGTTGTTCTAGTTATAAAAGTGATTATGGGAAAATGAACCTTCTTACTCATATCTGCTCTTTAAATGTCAAGTCTCTGTTTGTCGTCCCCCCCCCCCCCCCTATTACCACTGTAGAGTGAACCCAGCAATGAGAATAAGATGGATTCTATCCTGCCCATCATTTGAACTGCTAACCTAATTCCAATGGTAGAAATCCATAGTGTTAGTAATGATGTTAAGAGGTAGAAATAAGCACAATTTGTATATAAATTTTGGAGCCACAATTTATTTATAAACATGGGTATTAACATACTGAATATCCATTATGTTTGCAATGAAAAGGCTGTTTTCCTTCCTTAAAAAAGAATCCAACTTGGACTGCCTGGCCTGATTTTTCTAAACAATGCATGTTCAATTGTATATGTGAAAAGTGCTTGCACAGCTGCACATCTAACTTGAGTGTGCTGTTACTGCCACTGCCCATGCAATATCCATTCACAAATATATTTGATCTGGAAATCAGTGACCCCCAAATATGGAACTCACAATGTAATTTTTAGTCACTTCTCCCTATAACTGCATTTTTATATACTTCCCTGAATTGTCTATCACATGCACACCAGAGAGGATTCCAACAAAAAGGAATACAGGAAGCAACTTTTACTATGATAGGACTGTGCTGCCCTGTCTTACATTTCCACCATGCATTTCACAGTATTGTGCTCCAGCAGAAGGGCAGTTACCAGCAGCCTCTCGGGCACTGGCAAGCAGTGTTGGGCTATATAATGGTGGGTGGGAAATTTGATCCACACCAGCTTAAAATAGTTTTTAGAGAATTTTTCTGAAATAGTCTCCCTCCTATGTTAGCAGTTGCTGGGGGGAGTGGGAACAGGAGCTGGTTTGGAAGGCAGATGCTAGTTTGAGGAGTTGTCGGATATCTCCCAATCTCTTACACCAGTACATGGGACAGATCAGGGAATGGGCATCAGTTCAGGGATCAAAGAATCTCCTGCATGCTGCTGAGGCTGATCAGGGACCAGGAGCCATTGCATACAGTTAGGAAGCAAATACTATAGGGTCCAGGGTGCTAGCATTACCAATAGTGTCATCAGGCCAAATCCTGATGTGTTTACTCAGTTTTTACTTAGGCATACTCCCACTGAAGTCAATGAGACTGTCACTGAGTTCAACGGAAGTTTGCTGAAGCATGAGGAATCTAAGTTAAGATCTTAAGATTTATCAAAGAGTACCCACTGCAATAAATATATCCTACAGCCTAAAAACATACCTAGAATAGAATAGCAAATCTGTGATTTACATGGTGTGCGATGTTTGGGACTGAATTAAGTTCCCAAACTTTGGAACAGTTGGGATCAGAAGCCAAACTGTGCAGCTGGACCCTCTTCCTAACTCTACAGATTTGTTTTTCAGCAGGAAACACTAACTGGGTTAGTCTTTAAAATAATGACAGGGGTTGAAATCCTGGTCCCATTGAATTTTACCATTGATTTCTATGGGCTGAAGATTTCATGCATAGAATCAGCAATTCAGAACATATTGCAGATGGGATCATATTTTTAAAGTTAAATGCAACTTAGGGAGGAGTGATCCTGTAGCACAGGGGTGGCCAACCTGAGCCTGAGAAGGAGCCAGAATTTACCAATGTACATTGCCAAAGAGCCACAGTAATATGTCAGCTCCACCCCCTCCCCCACCCTCCCAGCACCTCCCACCCACCGGCAGCCCCACTGATCAGCGCCTCTCCCTCCCTCCCTGCATGTCCTGATCAGCTGTTTTGTGGCATGCAGGAGTCTCTGTGGGGGGAGAGCAAGGGTATGGCAGGCTCAGAGGAGGGTGTGGGAAGGGGTGGAGTGGGGGCAGAGCCAGGGGTTGAGCAGTGAGCACTCCCCTGCACATTGGAAAGTTAATGCCTGTAGCTCCAACCCCAGAGACGGTGCCTGTACAAGGAGCCGCATATTAACTTCTGAAGAGTCGCACGTGGCTCCGAGTCCGGAGCCAGAGGTTGGCCACCCCGGCTGTAGCAGAACCAGTTCATATATCTTCCTTGAAACTGAACATTCTGATCAGATCCACAGATCAGTGCTACCATTGTACAACTGAACAAAGAGGTTATTGTCTAAAGTTCTCAAATAGTCTTAATCTTCTACCGATTAGCAAAATCTGGTTTCCTTATACTTTTTAAAATACATCCCACTGAATTTAAGACTAAATCCAATCTGAGTAGAAGCAGATTCAGCTCCACTAAGTCCCTAAAGTTACACCTACCACTTACACTAGGTCTGAATTTGGCCTCATGGCTTTACCTTTACTCTCTGATGTGGTTTGATCCCATCCATACAGGCAAGACCGGCTATGACTGAAGCTGGTAAAATTTGCAGTGTAGAAGGGACCTCACTGATGGCGTGAGGAAAGCATACTTTTAGGGGAATGGCAGGAAAAAAAATCAGTTCAGAGCGGTTGTTTCTTCAGTTAGTTTAACTATCCCAAACATTCTTCCTGCCCTTGCATTTTAGATCCTGATAAATATATTTTGATACTAATGGAACTAGCTTCTTTCTTGTACATTTTTCAGTTTTAATGTGAAAGATGTTTTGTAGTCAAGAAAACATTGTTGGTATTAAACACCAGATAATGGTAGTGGTGGGAAAACTCTACCAAGTCATCCTTCTTTCCAGTATCACACAATATGACTGTTACTCAGCATGTCTGTCTGAAATGCTGCCTCTTTAACCCCTGTTCTCTGCTTGCAGTGAGTTGAAGGTGCTACTCCAAGATGTAGCAAACACACGACGCATTCAATCTGAACAGCTCCTGCCTTCTCTTGGGATCTACCAATCTCAGGGACTTCTGGGGGTCGTGACTGAATGGATGTGCAATGGATCCCTCCACTCGCTCATCCACGAGGTAAGGAAGAGGTAGGGATCTTTTAGAGGGGCTCCTTTATGGGTGTTAAAACTGTTTAGAAGCAAGGGCAATAATAAAATGAGCAAACTGTACCTCAGTTATGGATATTCATTTTGCAATAGAGTTGCTAATACCTTTCACCTGTAGATCTCAATAGATAGTGTGAATAATGACTGCTTTATAATTCTAAAAGATATATGCATATCTATATATATCATGGAATATTACACTGAAATAAATGTTGATTTTTAGCACCACCTGTACCCAGAATTGCCTTTTCCCCTACTCATGCGGATCCTGTCAGATGTGGCTGAAGGATTATATCATCTCCATAGGCTAGATCCTCCTCTCCTCCACTACAGCCTGAAACCCTCCAATGTCCTTTTGGATACACAATATAGAGCTAAGGTGAGGCCCTTTTACATTTAGCTTTTTGTCTTCATTATTTTCTTGACATGAAACCAGAACAACTTCTCCAACTTCTTGACATGAAACCAGAACAACTTCTAATATGCTTGATTATAGGATTATTTATCAGACATCTGTCCTAACATAAAATACCAGATCAATATTTGATACCAATAATGCCATATTGTTGCTACAATTCACCATTCACCCTTCTCTACAGATAACAGATTATGGTCTAACCTCCTGGAGGAAGCAGCAAAGATCAGTCCTGCAGAACTGCAATAGAAGCTGCTGGGATTTGGTATACCACTCTCCTGAAATACTTGAAGGAGGTGTACCCTCACAAGAAGGAGATATTTACAGGTTAGTACAGGTTTTTAAGGGAAAGTTATAGCTAAAGGAGACCTACTTCTGGAGAGCAATTCACATAGTATTGAATTAAATGTTTCTTTCAATAAAATATTGTAAAATTATACTACAGTGAAACCTACAGGTCACAGTGTTCCATTCAAATAACAGCTGTTACACGTATCATATCTGCATAACATTCCAGACTAGGAATATTGCAGCATTTAGTTAAACTTGAAATTCCTAATGTTTGAAGGAAATTATTTCAATACAATTTGTTATATTAAAAATTAATACTTATGGCCATACCTTTAGGTTAAGCAATTGCCAAACTTCAGCTTCAAAATATTAATTTACAGTAAAAAAGTAGAATACTGCTGCGGATGACATGCTATGAAGTAGATTCTCATCTTGATGCTTATATTAGATTTACTTGAATAAATTAAAAGGAGTTCTATGCACACAAGGAGAGAGTGACAAATCCTTGTAGGTGAAGGACTAATTTTTAGCAAAACTTATGTTTTTTTTAAACATACCCTTTTCAGATCAGAGACCAAACTTTCAACTGTAGTTACTAAACTGATTCTGTATTTTCAACTATCTGCACAAAACTTAATCTGCCTACAAAAATAGGCATGCCTTAGACATCAGGTAATCAAACAGCCAGAGTTAAGTTTCCAAATTCTTTCAGTTTGAATAATATAAAGTTTTATAAATATCTGAAGATTCTTTTCATAAACGCTAGCATTGGGGCCTAAATGTCCAATGTAGGTGCCAAAACTGTAGACACAATTATTTGCACACACAAGTGCAATCCACTTAGAAACCTAATATCAGCAAGTCAGGTAGTTAGATTTTTAAATGGCTGCTGTTGGTGGTGTAGACAGTTGTGCCACTATTTAATATTTAGGCACAATTATTGGATGCTTGGTTGAAATCTAGTTAAAAATAAGAATATGATTTTTATCTTGATGATGTCCCTTTAAGGTCCTGTGGAATCTCTTCTGAAAAAACTCGCTATTCCTAATCAGGCATTAACTTTTAACTGAAGTGACTTACATAAAGAATGCATGTTATTTACTCCGCCATCTTGTCTGCCACACATCCAAAGGGCACATACATGATACTCTGGATGAATGACAATCCAAAAATAGCAACTATGTAACTCTATGGACATATATCTTCATGGCTGGCACCACAGAGTCTATGACAACCTTTATACCTAATACAGGTCTGTCTCATCTTACGCTGGGGTTACGTTCCGCAGTCAGCGCGTAAAGCGAAAACCGTGTATAGTCAAAATTACATTGAGTGTAATGGCGGGTGGAATCGCCCGCACTACAGGAACAGTATTTAAATTGTTATTTTTCTCTTTTTTGTTTTGTTTTTGCCGACCACGTAAAGCTGAATTCGCTCATGTTAAATGCGCGTAAGATGCGACAGACCTGTATTACGTATGGCCAATTTTCTAGTGTTAGAGCTTTTATTTTTGTTATGGAGCCAACAACTTCAGCTCCTTTTCTATTGTCATCAATATACATATTATATATGTATTTAATAACACCTATGAATGATGTGATTGTTCCTCTGTTGTCCATGAAGAATACATGAGGCTCAAACAGGAAAGGAGTGAAAGGCTCACTTTCAGATGGCATAATTCCCATTCTCAGGTGTCACACCTTTTTAATTATAGATGTTTGGAAGTGACTGGTATTGCATGAGACCTGTGCGTGTCCAGCAGTGGTGTGACATGGAATATATTTGTTTTGCGTATATATCCAAGTGTTTTTACACCAATATTGATGTTGATTTAAGTACATTTAAATGCTACAGTGACATCTCCTAGAAGTTACAAATGGAAAAAAAAGATCTAGGGCCTGATGCAAATTTCACTGATGTAAAGAAAGATTCATTGGGCTTTGGATCAAGCTTTTAGTGGGTCAGCTAGTTCATTCCCTTGTCAATATACTCAACACTACCAAACACTTTATAATTACTGCAACAACAAAAAAAGAGGAAGTGAAAGGCTTTGAAACCCACAAATGGAAATTAGGTGAGGTATTTTAGAAAATAATCTACAGAATTTAAGAGCAAGACTTTCCCCTGAAACAGAATTCTAGCTGGTCTTTGTTATATCCCTTGAGTATTGTATAAGGACAGCTCAATTGGAAACTGAAATATAATAGTATGCAAAAATGGAAATCCTGCTAATAAGGAAGGGCTTAGTGCAAGGGTGGGCAAACCTTTTGGCCCGAGGGCCACATCTGGGTGGTTTAATTGTATGCAGGGCCATGAATGTAGGACTGGGGCAAGGGGTTGGGGTGCGGGAGGGAGTGCGGGGCGTGGGAGGGGGTGTGGTGTGCAGGAAGGGGCTCAGGACCAGGGGTGGGGTGCAGGAGGGGTGTGGGGTGCTGCAGGGAGCTCAGGGCAGGGGGTTGGGGTGCAGGAGGGGGTGTGGAGTGCAGGAGGGGGCTCAGGGCAGGGGGTTGAGGTGTGGGGTGCAGGAGGGGTGCAGGCTCAGGCCTGATGCCGCTTACCTCGAGCAGCTCCAGGGTGGCAGCGGCACGCAGTGGGGCTAAGGCAGGCTCCCTGCCTGCTCTGGCCCCATGCTGCTCCCAGAAGTGGCCAGCATGTCCAGCAGTGGCTCCTGGGGGTGGGATGGGGTAGGCGGCTCCGCTGCGCGCTGCCCTTTCCTGTGGGTACCACCCCCGAAGCTCCCATTAGCCGGGGTTCCCCATTCCTGGCCAATGGGAGCTGCACGGGGCGGAGCCTGCAGGCGAGGGCAGCGCACGGAGCCCTTTCCCAGCCACCTCCTCCAGAGGCCATAGGGATGTGGTGCCGGCTGCTTCCAGGAGCGGCACAGGGCCAGGGCAGGCAGGAAGCCTGCCTTAGCCCTGCTGCACCACGGGGCTGGCAATCCTGTGGGCCCGATTGAAAGCCGTGACGGGCCGGATCTGGCCCGCGGGCCGTAGTTTGCCCTCCCCAACTTAGTGTAACATGGAAAATACCCTTCCCTTGAACTAATGAACTCAATTTTTCAGTAAGTAATCAACATCAACACAGATTCCAAATTAACAAGCACAATTTCATTATTGTTTGCCTCTAGCTTTGGAATGCTATGTTGGGAAAGCTTAAGCAGACAGAAACCTTTTGAAGGTATGTATATCTCTCTTTCTTGATGGTTAATTATCTTTTTCTGAATTTATCCTCCTCTAAGCAACATTGATACCAACAGACCTGTCTTTTCAGACCTCGCTTTATCTCAAATCCCTATTACAGTGCTTGGAAGGATTAATTTGTGATCAGTGTGTCAGTAAATATTGATTTCAACGTACACACACAAACTAACAAATATATTTCCAATGATAGTTGAAATTTACAGATAGGCAAAGTAAGAAAAATGCTGCTTGATAACTTATTAGAGTTTGATTTAAGGATATTTACTTTGTATATTTTGACATGTGATATTGGCAATTTGTGTTTGAATGGTTATAAAACTTTAGCTTTTTGAACCTCAACATCTACTGTCATTAAATAATTGTCTGACACTCCCATAATTTTCTGCAACTGTAAAAATTGAATACAATTGGGGAAAAATTAAAAATAAACAGTATTATCTGTCAAAATTATAAAAAACCAAATTCTGCCAACTGTGTATCCCAATAATGCCCAGTTCCATAGCTCTGCATCTCCTGTAGGGAATACAGTACTAGCCCCAAATGAAGATTCTTATTGTAAAAGAAACAGATACCTTCTCAGGGGTAGCTTTAATGGCATAGTTTTTACTATGTACTACCTAAGCCTGTTCACTGTAGCACCCTATTAAATTGTTATTTTGACCTTTCTGCTTATCTTTAATGCATAGCAACAGCTCTTTGGCTTGTGACACTCAGCATACTAACATCACAATCCAACATACTGACATTAGGCAGCATTTTAGGGTATGTCTACACTGGAGCTGGAGAGTATAATATCCAGTTTGAGTGACACACCCGCGCTAGCTCTAATCCAACTACACACTAAAAATTAAGTGTAGCCATGGCAGCATGAGTGGTGGGAAGGGCTACCTGCTCAAGTACAATCCCAGACAATCAGAGCTAGTGCAGGTAGGCCTACTCAAGCTGGAAATTACATCAGTGTAGACATGCCCTTAGTGGCAAGTAACTTGTCCAGTGAGTAGAACTGAGCCTTTATACATGTTTAAAAATCAAGGAGAGTTTCAGGTCTCAAATAGGAACTTTTAGTTCCTGCTAGACTTATATTACTATAAAATATGCTACTTTCTGCATATTTTATACCACAAAATGAAAATGAGGAATTTTACAGAGTTGTAGATCTTTAAAGCACTGTATAATAGACTGAAAATTATCCCCATTTTACCAATAAGGAAACTGAGGCAGTGGTAAATGATTTGTTTAACATGACAGCCAGAGCTGAGAACTAGACTTTGGAGTGCTGATTCCTGTCCTGTTCTCATTCCTTTAAAGCATGGCGCCTTTTAACTTATAGTAAACATACTTTAAAGAAGGATCGGTTTCTTCTAGTCTCTCTTGAGTTCTATGAAAGTGACAGTGCTGTATCATGTTCCTGAATATGATCCTTCTTACTCTCCTTCTCTTACAGCTGATTGCTCTAACAATGAGATTTCAGTTTGAGCAGTCATATGTGAAGAAGTATGTGCCTCTGTACTTGATTATCAAACTACATTACAGTTAGTACTCTCCTCTATCTGGAAAATGGCAAGGGCTCCAGGTCTATCTACCTATGGGACTTTCTTTTTCACTACATGGTCCAAGGAAAGGAAACTACCTGCTTGCCTATGGTGCACTAAACACTATAGAACCCAAGAATCAGGGGTTTTGAAAGCAGCAAGATGTGGAACTTTTCCTGGCAATTGTTTAATGACTATTTCTATTAAATATGACTCTACAACAAGTCACATTACATTTGTATAGCACCTGTCATCCAAAAGGGCCCCAAAGATCTTTACAATTTAACACACACATTTATTTATGAGAATCACTTCACTCACCATCTCTCGAGTGGAACATATAACTATTCAACGCACACTAACATTGCACAGCCCTTTTGGACAAAAAATGAAGGATCGTGTATCCAACTAAAATTGCAGAGGGAATGAAGGTAGGCAGGATGCAGTTACCCCAGCGAGAATCTGGCCATTACATGAGGGCTAGCAAACATCTTTATTCTTACAAAGAGTGCCATGGGAACTTAAATGACCACAGGCTCATGATTTTACATCTCTTCAAATTTCCCTAGTGATTTCTCAAGACATGCAGGGCTCCTGCAAAATTCATCAACAAATACTCCATACACCTCATTTTCCATATGTAATGTTCCACAAGTTCAGCCTTTCATTTTCTACTATGAATGAAGATGAGAATTACATACTTGTATATTTCAACCACCAGCCTGCTCCCAAGTACAGACTATGCAGGCGTATGCCATAGGGAGAGGTGAGGGGGGAAGCATGCTGTAATTTTGCAATCACATTTGTGAATTGTGTGTGTGTGTGTACACATGATGTCAGAATAAGCCAGTGTCTTTGCTGATCACAAGTCACCTAGCAGATTACTCTGTTTTTATCTACCTAACAGCTTTCATTCTGACAGACTTTACAGGCTCGGATTAAAAATACTATATACAATATACTCATGCAAGGCGGTGCTTTCATATTTTTTCACTGCCATTTTGTAGCTGCCCAGAAGAATTAGATTCTTTTGTGCATAAAGGGAATAATTTTTTTTAAAATTTGCACGCAGAATTGCATACAGAACTGTGTGGTTAGGCTGCACACACAGTAACTATAACTGCAAATAGGGTATTTGTGCATTCAGGTTACCAGTTATGCCTACATACCCAGTTGTGACTTATTGCTTAAACAACCCTTCTAACCAGAAATAAATGGACTGCTGCCAGTAGGTATAAATGAGTATTGTCACAGTTGGTCAGCTTTACTTAAGAGTGTGTTGTTGGGTTTTTATTTTTCGTTTTTAAAGAGTAGTCTTAGTTTTAAAATACAGAAAACAACCTGCACTAAACATCATCTTAAAATAGTTCTGAGGGTTTTAACTTTTAAATAACATGTTCTCATTCTCTTGCAGGCAAAAAAAACCTGCTGGAAGTTGTGACAGGAGTCTGTAGTGGCCTGCGGCCTGGGACTGAAGCAGAGTATATACAGAGCAATTTGCCTCAGAGAAACAGGCTGTTACAGCTCATCATACTGTGCTGGCACCAAGACCCAGATTACAGGCCCCAAACTGCAGGTAACATTCAGTATTTGCTCCCCCTTGTTGCTATCACAAACAGTCTGAGTGTCCTAAGTAATGCAGTGTTGTTGTAGACCTGAAGCTCTGTGTGAGCTCGAAAGCTTGTCTCTCTCACCAACAGAAGTTGGTCCAATAAAAGATATCACCTCACTCACCTTGTCTCTTTAATGTCCTAGATCATTGTACAGTAATGATGGCACAATAGAATGTTGTAACCCCAGTGTGAGATGAAACAGTTGGGGCACTGTCACCAGCATACTGTAGTGTTTTGGTTTGGGTTTTTTTTTTTTTTAATAAGGATGCCGTGCCCTCCTCTAAGGTGGCTTAGTCAGTTCAAGATTTTTAGTTTAAATATAGTGTAGTAAATTTAGCATAGATAAAGGCTAGGAAATTACTGGAGATTGCCAGCTAAATTCAGTATTTGAAGAATGGCTGATTTACCTTTAACAGTCTCATCTCAAAGTAATCACCATTCCCACTGGAGCAAATCCCACTGTTGGTTAAGTCAGAGTAGCTATATTATACCATCTGAGGATCTAATCCTCTGTTTCTAAAAAGACAGCCCTGAAACATGAATGATAAACTATGGCCCAGATTTTTCAGACTTGTACACAGAAGTGTCCAACTAGCCATCCGCACATGCTTTTACTGTGATTGCTTTGTGCAGTCATGAATAAATTAGGTACAAATATGCAGGTTTTTGTGTGCACATTTCTGATAATCTGATCCTAATTTGTTTATATTAGATCAAAAAAATATATATATAAGGCAAAGTTACTTAGAGGTGATTTAAAAGATTTTAATATGATTGCAACAGAATAATAAAAATCAGTGGAAGCACATTGGTGCATAGATATTTGCTTATTTGGATACGCATACATCCTGTATTTAAAATGCATTTTTCTTCCCACAGAATGTGTGGAACTCTTAAGGAGAATTTTGAGTGCTTTTAGCAAGGAGAAGATTTCCAGTGCAATCTACAGTTTGATTGATGCAAAGGTTAGTGCAAAATTCAGATTTGGTCCCATACAATTGCATTGCCTGCTTTCCGTGATTACCATCTTTGAAATCAAACAGGAGTTTGTCTCTTTGTTATTGCTTCAAAGGGCTATAAGTTAAAATGTCAAGATCAGTCCCTAAAAGCGGATAGAGCTAAAATACGTCGATCCAAGATTTAAACTCAGCCTCAAAAGTTTAATCCAGGATTCACAAGTGAGACTCTCCATACTGTATTACTGATAAGTATGCATGAGTCACAGACAGTTGGAGGGCCCCCTCACACTGTTCTTGCAGCAGTAGCAAATAGAAGGATGGTTTTAGGTTAACCAGATGTGTTAGTGCACTAGCCTGTCATCTCTGAAGTCCCCAAGTCAGTTTCTGCCTGAGGTTACTTGTAAAATGCAGCTTCATCCTAGTATCCATTCCCAAGATCAATCAGACCACAACATAGCTGTGAGTGAATATTAGTCTCAGTTACATCAGGTCCAGGTCTGGGACCGCAGAGCAATGTCTAATGTCAGGATTAAGATCAGTTGTCAGTACAGCCTGGAGGGAAGGTAGCACAGGATACTGATGCAGCTGGGATTTCTCATGGTACTAAACTCACAGTCTGTGAAGTGAAAAATGCGAAAAGTCTCCTGGTTTTATCTCACTTGTGCTGGATTCTGACTTGATGAGAGTAGTCTTGCATCCCAGATTTTGGGAGATTTTTTTAATATCTCTTCCGAACTCGAAGTTGTAGAGGCTGCAATTTGAGAAATGGGAGGTGTGATTTGCGGAAGACCAAATGTAGAAGTACCCCATAAAAGGAGAAGGAGCTCCCAAGCATTGGTCTTTGTGGTGGCATGACATTTATGACGTGATTTTGTAATGCACCGAAAAAGCCTGTTTTCCCCAACGCCCACAGTGATGAGTATGAAATAAATACCTGTAGAGAAAGGCAAAACAACCCAATATTGTTTCAGTAGGTAATAGAACTGTACTCTGGTTGATTTTACTCCTAGCTGCAGATCATGTGGTGTATGTGCCTGATATTTTGACAGTACCTCCATGAATATTCAGTGTATGATTTTTTTAGTTTCATTTGGACTGAATGTTGTGTATATTTTACTAAGTTAGTGGGTTTGTTTGTTTGTTTCAGGAGAGAGCAGTAAATGCCTGCAAAGGCTCAGTTCCACACATGCTTCAGACACATGTGCACAATCTAGAGGTGAGCAAACATATGCACTTGGGGAGGAAATTTTTTCAAGGGTATCTTAGTCCCATTATCAAAAGTGACTTAGGCACTTAGACTCCCTAAGGGAGTCTGCCTAGTAAGGGAGATCTTTTCTATCAAGAAGCTAGAAGTAATTTCTTATCCATTTTCATCCCTGTCAGGTCATCTGTGCACAGAAAAACAGCAACCGGCTTATCGACAAGAGTGTCCATCTAACAGCACAGAGATTGTCAACTGTTCTTGACAGCCCTGCAGGAAGAGAGAAGGCTAATCAGATGGCATTTGCAGATATCACAGCGCCAAACACAACACACAAAAAAGGTATGTAGGACTGATCAGCTTAAGATGTTTTTACCTCCAAGTACTATAAAAATATTAAACAATTACATATTGGCTCAGTATCCATAAAAACATGCCAAATGTCTCCCTCTTCGGAGTGCAACTGTGATATAACTCTTGATATAACCAGAGCAACAGATTTCTCTGCAGTAGCAAGAGTCTGCCCTGAGAATTGCAGCGGTGCAAGATTTTTGCAACCATTCCTCCACAGGGAGAACTCACAACTAGCCAGTGTATTCCCATACGTGAGTGGACATTCAGTGGGTTCAGTGGTGTAAACCAGGCAGCCATAGAATTTGCTGATTTAGTGTACACCCTGAACACCCTCCACCAGTCAGACACCTGTGGCACTCTGACCACAACTTAAAGCTGCCCTTCCCTGGCATTCCAAGAACTGCCTGCTCTTCCCCAGAGAGCAAATCCATCCTGGGTCTAGTGGACCCTGCTGGAACAGAGAGGTGCAATTTCTTTTGCCTTTGCCACCATGAGTGAATCTAGCCCTCTACCAAGATACTTATTTGGCCCTCAATCACCACAGTACTTTTCTCTACTTTCTAATACCTGCTGTCAAATGTCTCCGCATTAGAAAGTAATTGCTTTGGAAGAGTCCCATCTCTTCAGAAGAGAACGAATGATTCATATTAGCCACTCCTACCTAACCATATCCTTCGGTTTTTTCACTGTGGGCTTGTCTTGGCAAATGTTTGACAAAGTATTTAAATCCATGTGCATTTCATGTATATAAGCGGACTGGAGGTGGGTTTTGTTTTGATGGTTTTGTTTACAAGATCTGAGCCACAGAAAATCTATTATCTATCTTTGGTAACCTCTGAATACATGGGACTTATGATACAGGTTTCTTAATACTTAGTACTGAAATAGATTAGTGGCTGTTCCTTTTGGGTAGAACAGGATTTTCCTCAACTTCATCCACAAATTTACAGTAGTCCACAACTATAATCAACAAGTTAAAAGGACACTGACAACTTAAATGTAGCCCAAAGTTTACATTTTTTAAAAACTTTTATAAAATCTACAACCCATAGAAGAGTTTCTAGAATTAAAACTCAGTTGAAACATTTGACCTAGACTTTCAACTGCAATGTTATTAATTTATTTGTATCAAGGATGCTCCATCAAGGACCAGGGCTCCATTGTGCTAGACGCTGTACAAACATAACAAAAAAAGATTGTAGTTCTTTGGGGGCAGGAACAAAGTATGAGACAATATTCGAGATTAAAAAAAAAATCCACTTTTAATTCAGTAACCCATGCACATACTTTTTGCAATATATGATTTAAGTTTAGTGTCCCTTATACATTTCTAATTTTACAAATAAAAATTTATTATTTGGCCGTATACAACAGTCCCATTACGTGTAGTGTAACAGAGGTGTTATGCTGCATGAAAAGATGATGCTCCGCTCCTGGGAATTCATCATCCATACTCTTGCATAAAACAATTTTCTTAAAGTGTGAGAGATGGAGTATGTACATAACAAATGTAAAAACTTCATAAGAGGGAGGATCTAGCAGCAAGTGTTCACAGGATGTAATATTTACAGACAAGTTAGTCCTCTAAACTCTGTTTAAATTAGAGATCCGGAACTATCCATTGATGAATCTCTATTATGTTCAGCTGTAGTCCAGTTTAAAAGTCTTATCTCACCCATCTTTATTTGTTCCCAGCTCATCCAGGTAGTAGAGAATCAGCGCTGCAGCATTCCTTTCCCACTCCTTGTACCTCTGATCCACACGCAAGCAGAGAAGATGGTGGTCAGTGTCAAAGGGACCCAAAGCTGTGGCAGCAGCAGGCACTACAGTTATCGCTGCCACCTGAGCACAGCCCTCATCATAGCCAATTTCAAAGCACACAGTGTGAACAAACATTAACAGGTGAGATTCCAAAGAAAAGTTTGGTCCAAGAACCAGAAGCTCCTGGCAATGTGGTATAGTAATATTTTATTTTGCCACACTTTAGCCAGTGTTTCAGATAAAAACTGTACTTTGGCCATATTCTTGTGTATTTACTGGTAATTAGTGTAATTCCTCTGAAGCTGGTACTTACCATTGTAAGAAACAGGATACTGGACTAGATGGACCATGGGTCTGTTCCAGTGTGGCAATTCCTGTGTTACTAAAAGCTCAGACTTTGGCCTTCAAAGCCAACTTTTGTTCAGAATAGGCACATTGTTCAGAAGTGGACTTTCACTGGAAAGGGGTCTAAAGAAAAACCTCACAAAATATAGCAAGTTTTATGGTGAAATAGGCCCACTGAGGTTATAACAAATGGGGAAAAAATCCACTGTATGTGGTTTAACCTTTCATTGTGACAATTTCAAACATCTCCAGCAAGGTAGTTCTTGGGGATGCAAAAGGTTAGTTGGAAAAATACTTCCCTTCCACCTCATTTTTATATTTTCTTTGGGCAAGACCCGAAAAAGGCCTCAATCTTCCTACTGAGCAGATATGAATAAGGCTGACTTTTGGTCTGTGAAAGCTGCCTCTTTTTTCCATAATGAAAAAGTTTGTAAAAACAAGTTTTTCACTTTGACAAATTGAACCATGGTGATCTCCAACAAGCTGGACATTCTTCTGATCTGTTGGATGCTGGGGACATGTTTCTGGGCAAACCAACAAAAGACCTTCTGTAAACTAAGACAATTCAACTCATGGCCCAATTGGTAACAGACTAGGAAGACTGAGGCATGGTCTCCTAAGTACAGGTGACCTTTTCTTATTTCCTTTCCCTTACTGGAAGGGCAGCCTAATGCAGTTTCTGCATAGATCTGGTTTTGGTGTATGCACCTTCTAAGATGCTTCCATCTCCCACTGAAGCAATGAGAGTATTGAACAGTACTATCCTTCAGATCTGTCTATGGTGCCTTCTGCTCTTCCAGCCTCTACTGGGTAGACTAATACTCTCTAGACATAGCTAAACTTCTTTACATAACAGTTATACAGATGATAGATTACCAGGATCAGACCTGGGAATCCCCTCCCCTTAAGTCATCTCACTCACTAAATATTATTTTCTGTGGTCTGGGTCTATGATCAGTGCTAGTTTTGAATAGAGACTGCAAGTAAATGAACTCTTCATCAGCTCCTATTGCTCCACTGAACTTACATTTCCATTAGTCACTTCATTCTTGACATTAATGCTGCCACTAGCTAACAGTTTAATGAAAAAGTCTGACAGTTTGGCGTATCTAATTTTGTTCCTTTTTATTCAAGGTCCTTGCTGCAAAGGCAACTGCTGCCAGATCCTAGCCTGTGGGCGACAGACTATCTTGAGCTGCATGACAGAAGGGCGCCTCAACCACATTCTTGATGTCCTTCGCTCCCAGCGAGTGTTGTCTAAAATGGACTATGAAATGATCACCTCTTTCCCCACCCTGACCAGCCGCGCTCGTGCTTTGTTGGACACTTGCCTCTGCCTTGGAGAGGGGGCAGCTCAGATTGTAGTGACTGTACTCTCAACTAGCAAATGTAGCCCTCTGGCACGAGGCAGCCACATCACAGACAGCTCTGCTAAATTAAATAGACGACTGCAGTGACTTAAGTTATTTTTCATGGCATATTTCATGGATTGGTGCACTGGTAACTTGGAATGACATTAATTCATGTTCATTTCTCATTACCCACTGACTAAAAAGTCTGTTCCTTTTCCTACTGCTCAGTGACTTTAGTCCTCTAAGAGTTCAAGACACCCATTGCCTGCAGAAATAACAGAGCCTGGTAATATATATTCCAACTTGGACCTCTGAGATGGTAGGATTATGGGAGTATGCCAGAGTCTAGTTCAAGTCACATGTCACTTATTATTTCCTGGTTTCTTAATGGAGGTAAATTGATTGTGACTTATTGGTGGATGGTTGAGAGGAAGACTGATGCTAAGCTCTTCCAAGTCTGAAAGGCACTTAAGGATGGGCTGCTGCCTGGGAAGGAAGAAAGAAGCTGCTTTTGCCAACAGCCAAGCAAGCTGTCACAGTGAAAGTGAAAAGCATTCAGGAATAAGTTTTCAGGATCGCTTCAAACGAGCCTTTGAAATTTACCATCTTGCAAACTGAATCATTTTTTAAATTTTTCTTGCACAAATGCTCATTTGTCCTTGTAAACTGGTACACTTACATTTAGCAGGTGCAAATTCAGAAACTCTTTTGAAATAAAATGGCCATAAACAAGTTAAAGTTACCTGGATACAGCATGTTAATGTTGTTCAGTTTATGAATGATACAGGTATACAATGTGAAGTTAAGCTGTGAGATAAGAGGTGCCAAACTGGCCACTTTGGAAGGACAGTTCCATTGAACTGTAAATAAAGATACGAACATCAAATATTATCTTAGTTAAAATGAAAATGAAGTGTGCAAGGTGCCTCCATTAGAAAGTACCGTAGGATGCCTGCAATATTCACGGCACTGGATAAGCCCAGGAACATTATCATTACAAGATGTATAGATATTTCAGATGCCAAGCTACATTGTTTTGTTTCACTACATTGCAATTGTTCTTTTCATTTCCAAGATGTTCAATTAATCCTGTGGTTTGATGTGTTGGAATCTTAAATGCAGGAGTGGAGTATTTTAAGGCATATTTATACAAGGGATTATTTATTCCACATGATATAATTTAAAACCACTAGCTTTAGAAGTTTTAAAATCAACATTTTAGAAAATTCAGTCAAACTGTCTTAAGGCTGCTTTGTGACAATAAAAATGGCTAAAATTTAAAGCAGTGTCAAAGTGTGTTAGAAATGTCATTTTTTACTTTATTAAGGGAGGCAACTTTCTAGCTCCTAGAAGTTTAATGTTTCATGCTACATTTTAAATGAGAGACATCTGTTTCTCCAACAGACCACAGAACAGCTTTTGGTACAACATAGGGCTCTTGTCACTGGTCAAAAAAGGAACGAGTCCCTCCACTGTATTCCTTCCTTCTGTGGAAGGAAGCACAATTGTCAAGACTTAAATATCAGGTATCAGGAATCATTCCATTCAACTGTTGTATTGGAGTTTTTAAACTTCTACATAACATGATGGGGCAGTAGACAACCCTAGTTTATGATATATTTTGAAATGACTGCCTGATTTTAATGCATAACTTAGTCTTTGTCCACCCATATCCTCGATCAGTCTCTGAAAGATTTCAGATATGCACAAAACTTTCATTTCTGTTTACTTCCATGCAGTTACAGAGAACCTCAGCAACCCATACTAACAACGTTTTTTCTGTAAGTTAAGTGAAAGCCATTATACAAATATCTATTAATATAATAGATTTACTTCCTAAGTGGTCTTTTAAATGTTTAGCATCCTCAGAAATAAAGCAGACCGAGTGGATAGAAATAAATAGCCAGAAAATAATACAGATTCATCTTCAAAAAATGCAGTCTAATGCATCTGCTGAAAATCTGAACCCCAGAGATGCAATGTGGGACAAACTAGGTAAGCAGTAATAGTGATCAAGAGACCTGTAAGTGGCGGTAGTGGACAGCTAATCGCACATGAATTTGTAGAGCCCTGCATGGATATAAAATTTGTATCCACATGCAATCCACAAAAAGGATCCGCGGATGTGGATTTCCATGTATATAAAGCGGATACCTGTGTATTTGAGGAGCTCTATGAATTTGCAATCTGATATAGCAAGACAAAGGGCTAGTGCATTTTGGGACTGAGTATGCAGATTTCATGTAATAGAGTATGACTGTTGTATTCCCTTCTATATGATTTTGGCGTGACCACAACTGGAATATTACATTAAGCTCTGGGCATCCACTTAATGGACAGATGTGGCCTGGAGTCCAGACAAGAGCTACTGACATTAAAGAGATTAATGTGAGGACTGAGGGAGAGGAGGAAAATAATTGTTCACAGGTACCTGAAGGATGTAAATACTAAACAACAAGATGGAAAAGGGATTATCAGGTACAAGAGGGTATTGTGACAAATATGGCAATTTCCTGCAATATCCTTGGAATTCCTTATTGTATTACGTTTATGTATTATTGCAGGCCAAGATAGTATGTAACCTCTCTATGGGGAAGATGTGAGACCTGGAAGTTCAAAAGACTATATTCAAAATGTGCTGGTCATGTATGGACTTCTGGGACAATAAGTGTTAAGTGGGGAAATTCCTAGGGAGAGGTTAATGCAAATTCCCCAACTCTGGTTATGCAATACCACAGCCTTTGGAAGCTACCCCTGGAGGAGAGGGTCATTGTCTGCTGATTATTTGTTACAGAAGGCTGGGGTCAAAGGTCTGGGCTGCATAAGGAACAGCTGATATACCCAGCCTTGGTTCTGGTTCTGGCTCTAAGACAGGTCCATGCAGAAAACCCATGTTGTGGGTTTTGAACCACTGAAATCTACCAGAGCCGTAAATTGGAATTGAGGGTGACCTCTGGTAAGCTTTTTAGTATGCATGTAGGTTTTGTTATTATTTTAATCTGTTTTCTCTGTTTCTGAACAAGCATGTTTATTCTTAAGGTTAAAAGAGCCGTATGGTACCTTGTAACTGCTGGCAATACACTGTTCATAGCCCTCGGAGAAAAAGCAAAGCGCAGGTGCTGGTGTTTTTAAGGCAGTCTGGCTTGTTGGGGATATCAGTGTAAGCAAGGGAGCTGTACAACCTTAAAATCTCCAGTACAGAGGGAATGAGATACGGGTCTCCACCCAAAAGAGGTGACTGCTGGGAGTCAGAAATCTTTAAATGCGTGCCCTTGAGGGACCACAGGTGCAGTTACTGTACTTTGAAACTGGCATATGATGGCAGCATCTGTGGGATCTATGACAGCGTGAATTGCCAAAGTGCCAACAGTAGTGAAAGCAAGTACCATAGAAGGGAAAAGCACAGACTAAAGTCTCAGTCTTTTCAGGAAGGGAACAGCAAAAAGAGAGATGGGAAAATGAGTTATAAACAGCTGAGAAGTCAGCTAGTCAGTGTGAAGGAATATACTCTAGGCTTCCTGGGAAAAGCCATTTAAAATCATTGAACAATTCAATGAGGTGAACTATGGTGGTGGAGCCATCTAATTGCTCACATTGGCACCCAATATCGTGAACGTGACAAAACCTTTTTATGACAGTGTCAAAAGATCCTTTCACTGATAGGGGCACCTCCTCCTGGCTGCTCTGGGGATTAGCTCCTTCCAGGAACTGCACCCTCCTCTGGCAGTCTCTCCATCCTTGGTCCTCTCTCTCTCTGAGGCTCCCTTTTCTCCAGGAACTGCAGCTTCCTCTTCACAACTTGTCCCTCCTCCCAGCTCACTATGGTCCTCCCATTCCAGGGTATCAAAGTCTTCCAAGGCAAACTGTCCCAGGCAGTCTACTCTGCTCCATGTCACTTCCTCTGTGGCTGATAGGGGAACTTGGGCCCGCCCCCTACACTGGGTTCCCTATCCCCTGTGGCTGGTAGGGGAACCTGGGCCCGCCCCCTACTCTGGGTTCCCTATCCCCTGTGGCAGGTAGGGGAACCTGGGCCCGCCCCCTACTCTGGGTTCCCTATCCCATACCTTGCTGCTTTTCCCCTGAGCCTTTCCTCCCCCTCTCTGGGTTTACCAGCCCAAACTCCTTCCTCCCAGGGAGCAACTGTAGGCTATCTCTATAGCCCCAAACACACTTCCCTTCCCCCAGGGAGCAACTGCAGACTACTTCTCTGCAGCCTCCTCTACTGCCAATTTCCTGTCTTTGTACATCCAGCCATGCTATTCCTCCTCAGCTGGGCTCCCTCGCTCAAGTCAGGGGATTACTTAGCCACCTGATTCCCCTCAGCTCTGGCCTGTTGGGTTAATCAGTCCCCTTCTCAATTTGCACTAGCACTTTCAGGGCAAGTGTGCAGTAAACACCCCATAACAGACAGAGAGAATCTGGCCCTGGCCATTTGCAGCACTAGGAGGAGAAGGGAGAGGATCCCCTCATAGATCTGGCAGCAGACACAGGGACCAGCTGAACTCTGCTGGCTGAACTCCATAGCCTTCTCTGATCACTTAACCCAAACACAGCAAGCAGAGATCAAGGGGGTGTTGCAGGCTTATCAGCAGGTATTTTCCAGTAAGCCTGGATGCACTTCACTTGTTGTCCACTGGGTGGAGATGGGAGCCAAGGCTTCAATCAAAAGTGCACAGTTCAGGGTTAGTGGGAAAGCAGCCCAGAGCATGGAGAAAAAAATCACTAGCATGCTGGAATTGGGGGTGATCCAACAGTCAAGTAATCCATGTGCCTCCCCGGCTATTCTAGTACCTAGGAAGGATGGGTCAATTAGATTGTGTGTGGATTACAGAAAGCTGAATACTATCATTGACACATACACCATGCCTAGAACAGATGAAACACTAGACAAATTGAGAGGGGCCCAATTCCTGACCACAATTGATCTCACTGAAGATTATTGGCAGATGCTTTTGGACTCAACTGCTAGGCTCAAATAGGAATTTACCACCCCCATACGGCTCTTCTGAGTTCTTGGTCCTACCTTCTGGCCTCAAGGGGGCCCTGGCTACCATCTAGCAGCTGGTAGATTGGATACTGGATGTGATGGAGGAGTTTGCCCTGGTATATATAGATGATATTTCTATTTTCAGTCAGACTTGGGAAGAGCACATAAGAATAGTGCTTCACAACATTCAGGCAGCAAGCCTGACTGTAAAGGTGGAAAAATGCAAGATGGAGATGGCAAAAGTGGCCTATCTTGGCCATAGGGTCGGGGTTGCTCTGTCCAGGAAATAAGTCAATGCATTCCCCTAGGCTGCCAGTCAAACCACTCCAGTTATACCCATTCTTCAGGGGAGAGATGTGACAGATATTACACCTTCCTGCAATGTCCTTGGACTTCTTATTATATTAAGTTTAGGTATTATTGTGGGTCGGAGGGGAAAATACAGGTGCAGTTACCATGAAACTGTGACAAGTATCACTAGTAGTAAAATGCAGCACACTTTTCTCTGTGACAAAGTGAGGCAATTTCTGGATTCAATTATTCTTGGGATGAGTTCCTCACAATTTGAAAATCCTTTATTTGATGTCAGACTTGAGGCCCAGTGCTACTCCCTGGAAGTCAACTACAAACTCGCTTTGATAGTAATGGGAGCAGGAGTGGGCCTTGGTTACCCATCCAAATTCTGTGCTGTTCATACTGGGCCCTACAATTTTAAATATTCTTGACAGAATGTGCACTTATGCAGCCATTGGGCATTCACTACCACCCTTTCATCTCCCTTATGTCAGTGTATTTCAACTGAAGTAAAGAGATATACCAGCATAAAACTGGGAACAGAATGGAGAATCAACCTTACTATTCTCTTTGTTATAAATTAAGTTAAATATTAACAAGGTATATCCTGTATGCGGGAAGATGGACACTCTGAAAAGCAGCTGTATAAAACTAGCAGCTTCTTAATCAACAGATCAGCTCCCAGTTTTATATGATGCCATAGTACACAAAGATACATTTTTTCCCAAAGCAGCTACACATTATCACATTATCATCAAACCTTGAACAGACATCTTTCTTTCAGAAAAAAAACTTTTCATGCTATTGCAGGCAACTCATCTACCATTATCATAGCTGTAGAATATGAGAACAAGCTAGGAAGGGTTGAAACTACATGGAATTTCATTGCACGTTATCTAAGTGAGACTGGTATTTTAACATAGATATACTAATTGAAGAGATAGGTAATTTAATCAGGGCCAGGAAGTTTGTAGAAGTGTATGAATCGGTATAGCAAACTTCTTTAGTGTCTCATGCACAAGGGAACTCCTTTGTCATCGTCTGCCTCCTGGTTGATGTGCATAACGTGACTTTGCATCCTTCAATTTTCCTTATGGAAGCAAACTTCTTATAGAATAAGGCAGAGAACACACTAGGTGCAACTAGGCAAGGCATCAAGTAGATACTTTCAAGATAAAATATTTACATATACTTCAAAAAAGCCATTGTTATCATAGACCCAACAAGCAAGTTAATAGGTGATTATAAAATCACATTTTGGTATTTCCAGTACACTATAACTAACATTTCTTACCTCCAAAAATTGATAGTTAAAAATATAAGTCACACTCTTACATAGAGCTGTATGATCTTACAATCACATCCCATACCACCAA